CCGCTGTCTCCCGACCACTCACCGGTGTGCCAAGCTTAGCGAATCACAGAAAGGCTGCATGTCATTTCCCAAACCTTCCTTGGCAGTGGAGGGGAGAAGAAAGCCCTCCGGCAGAGTGGTTTGGTCATTTTATAGCCTGAAGGAAGAATGGATCTCCGCTATATAATGTCGTTTGGCTTTAACATTCTTAAAAGAGTGACACTGGGAGCACAATGGAGATAAAAGTGTCATACCTGTCTGGCAAGAGAGACTGAAAACTCATTTCCCACTGATAAGTCATTCATTATTACGCTGGACAAACAACTCTTCCAAGAAATTCATGTCAGGCAGCTCAGCACGCTAACTATCCGGGAGTTCCCTCAAGAGATGGCCTGTAAAAAGAACCCTATCCGAGCATTTACTGCGGGACTCGGAGAAGGTGAACTTACATCGACCTCTACCGCTTTCGTATTTTCTCTTCTCTGGTAAACTCTAATAGCCTTTTACAGGAGTACTCCCTGTTCAGTCGCTAGTCAGCTGCCTCGCAAAGGAAAGGAATTCTGAGTGGGCAGAGTTCTAAAGTGCCAAGTTCTAAAGAGAGCAGCCACAGCCTTGGATGGGGCTTCAGCAAGACCTCTGTGAGAACCACAGGCAAAGCCAGCTGCCAAGATGCTAATGTGTGCAAGGGGGCATAGCAGGAAAGAGGTCCCTTGCATCTCCCCAATTTCTGTTGTGCTTAAAAGTTGTTTACCCTGTCCTAGCTGTGGGAAGAGATGGGGTATAAATAAAAAAATTATTATTATTATTATTATTAGCTGTCCTGAGGCTCAATGCAGAGAATAATGCTCTCCTCTTGGCATACAGGATGGGGAATGCAGGAGAGTGTATCTCTATTATTATTATTATTATTATTATTATTATTATTATTATTATTATCATTATCATCATCATCATCATCATTATTATATTTTCAGACCACGAGGGATGATATAATTGACTGTAGCAGCAGGGGAACTGGGGAGATAGAAATGGGAGAGACAAGCTTTAAGCCCCCACTGTAACAAAAAGCACCCCCTAGTTAGCCTGCCCCACAGGGTTGCTGCAAGTCAACCAGAACATTTGTTTTTTGGCTTCTTCTTTTTTTTAAAAAAAGTTCAACAACTTTCGAGTTTTCTTTTAATAAGTTCAAAAATTTCAGTGGTTCCCTTAAGAAGCTCAACACTTTTGGGGTCTTCCTTAGAAATTCTCAACAACTTTCAGGGTGTCCTGGTTTTTACTTTTTTAAAATATGGCAACCCTAATGGAGGAAGACTCAACTGCCATGCCAATTGGCTTCTGTATGTGTCTTGGGGGAGGGTGCCATCGTGGCCTTGGCCTCAGGCCGCAAACTTGAGCTGGCCCTGTCTGGAGGCATCAGGTATCAGGTCTCCATTGCCCTAAGCTCCTTGGAGGTCATAGTATGATAAAAATGCTATAACACAGAAAACTCTCACCAGTATGGGAAGCAGTATAGTGGTCTGTTCATCCCCAGATCTCTGCAGAACCCTTTTGTTATCCACACAGCACCAACATCGATGATTTGCACAGTCTAATGTCTCTGTCTGAAAATACCTTGGTTGTTTTCCCTTTAGCTACCAGACATCACACTGAGATAACTTTGATAGAAAGAGGCATATATTAAAATTTTAGAATGTGGCTGGGCAAGACCCTGATGCTCTCATTAAGCGTGTGGCTAGTTTTATTCTTAATTAAGTTACCGACAAGCTGAAGGGGAAGGAAGGGGAAAAACAACCCACATCCCATTAGCTCTATAAACTCTTTGAAACCTTTTGATGACAGCCTCTGGCCATTAATATTTCTCCACTCCTCCTCAACCCCCTTATCTTTTCTCTTAGCATCTCAAAATTGAATCATGAGAGTCATGTCATCTGTAATTACTGGAGCCCATTACACAGACCGGGGTTGGGCGGCACTTAAAGAAATTGCTCTGGCGATTGGATATGTCAGCAAAGGCATCAACTTCAGCCAGGAGAACTCGCCACAAAGCTCATTGCCACGAATGCCACAAAGTGGCGTCCTTTTTGTTTGGACTTTTCAAGTCTGGCAATGGGCCGTGAGATATTTGGGGTTGTGGGGGCTCTTAATTCTGGAGGGACTTTGAAACATGTTTTTAAATACCAAATGGAGTTCAATGTGGACTATGGAAAAGGGGCTGATTTGTCGAGAAGGGTCAAAAACACTGTTAAGTTGGAGTTCCCACGAGTGAAAGGAGCAGGAGACAAAGTAAAATACAGGTATAAATATGAAGAAGAGACATGGAAGAGACTTAAGGGCCTCGGACATAAGATTACCAGGTTAATGCGCTAGATTGATGTGATAGGAAGGACTGACAAAACCCGGGACCAGGAGGAAGAGACGCTGGATGAAGATTGGAAGGGGAAAATTTTTTTTTTTATTAGGATTGTTTTATAAAATTGATGAATGCTAGAAAAATGTTGGAACAAAATTATTTGGCTTTAGTAAAAATGTTTAAAGAATTATGTAAGAATATTATGGTTATGAGAAATTGGTATAAATAAGATCTAAGTTTCAAGTTTTAAGGTCTTTTATAGTAAGATAAGATTAAAATAGATTAAGGTAATGTAATGACAGAATATTATGAAAAATGGAAAGGATTTGCTGTGACAATTAACAACTAGGATACAAAAAAAGGGAGGAGTGAGGAGGTCAAAGAAAGAAGGTAATGACAGTTAAGGATTTGAGAATATTGGATTTGTTTTTAAAATGTTTGTGGCTTATTTTTGTCTTTTGATTGTGTTGTGTTATTTTTTGATTTTGATTCTTATCAATTTGTATTGTTGGATTGTGGTTTGTTTTTCTTTTGTTTTTTTCTTTTTGTTTTTTTGTTTTTTTCTGTAATTCTAAAATTCTTAATAAATATCATTTAAAAAAAACACAAAGTGGCGTCCTTTTTTGAGCAGAGAGCTACTGAAAAGGTAAGTTCTACTGAAGTGAAAGGAGAGCAAGTGTCGCCGCAAGAGGAGAAACCATGCACACAAATCCACAGCTATTTTTTGCATGGTCAGGAGAGGATCGGCTGCCTGTGTCAAAATAGCATGAGGGACCAGCTAGGCTAGGGATAAGAAACCTGCAACCCTCCAAAATGGTGTTGGACTTCAGTTCCCATCAGCCCCAGCCAGCTGGGCCAGTGGTCAAGAAAGATGGGAGCAGCATCTGGAGGGACACAGATTCCCCATCCCCAGTCGAGACTGTTCCTGTATCATCAGCAACAACAGCAACACTGAGGCTGCAGTTCTTTAGAAAGGTTTATTTTATCATCGTCATCATCATCATCATATACCACCCTTCATCCATGGACTTAAGGGTGGTTCACAACATAAAACTACAATATAAAAACCACAAAATGCCTAATAAAAAAAAGAATCACAAACCAATAAACCCCCTTCCCCAAAAAATTACAAATAGAGAGAGGAAAATAAATACATCAATATTAATCCAAATATACTTTGTACATAAGCTACGTAAATCACAGAAACATATATATAGTGGCTGATAAATATTAAATGTGTTTGTGGGCAGGGGAATTATTACCTTTTTTTGCCATATTTCAAAAAGTTTTTTTTTCTTTTTGCAAGATCTAAAAGAAGAAGAAGAAGTAGGTTTTGAGCTATTTTTAAGGAAATTCGCCAAAATCTGCACTTTTGGCCTGGGTTGCAATATGTCCGGATTTTCGGGGATATTTATGGCAACCCTAGTTTAAATTATTTATTTGTGCTTTTATCTCATGTTTTTATCTTGTGAACTGCCCTGAGATCTCTTAATGAAGGCCAGTATATAAATCTAAGAAATAAATGAAAATAGAATAGTGATTTTGTTATCATGATTGATATTTTTTCACGTAATGAAAATAGTGCTTATTAAGCTTAAATGTCAAGCACACACATAGAGGCAAATACCATTCTTTGCTGGGGTAAGCCCTACTGAACGCACAGGGACTTACTTCTGAGTAGACATGTAGAGGATTGCACTACTACTTAATGTGCTTTCCTCCGCAAACTCCATCACCCAGGCCATGCAAGAGCCTACAGTAGCTCCTTCTCTAATGATGAAATCTCATTCAAGACTAGTATTGGGTGCTGACAAGTCCTGAGAACCCTGTCCTGGGTGAGGATATTTAAGCTTCCTGCTCCTGGTCACCCCAGTCATCCGAAATGAAGACTTGGCTCTTCTGGGGCTCAATTTGTTGGTCACACCAGTTTGACACAAATTGTGTGCAACTGGATTACGCACAGAACCCCGGCATTATCTTACATGTGTCATTTGGGTAAGCTTTCCATTCTTTTCTTTTTTTAACCTCATTCTGTCTACAGTGAATTGCAAGTGGCCTGTCATATTAAAAATAACAATAATGAAAAACCGCAAAGAATTCACACCCAAATAATATAAAACACTGTAGCAGGACTCTTGTGTTACATGCCTTGTCTTGCCCTCCTGGACTTTAAAATACAAATCTTTCAGCAGGAAAGTTTTATGTGTTTCTTTACGCAATTCATAACCTCTCATCACACTTACCACCATACCTTTTTCCAAGAATATCATGCATTGGGGATCTCACCCAGGAAAGCAATAAACCTTTCCATCTTTTATTTCACTCACATAACAGCAGCTGCAGGGTGAATTTGCAACCTTGTGTGCCATTACAAGATTTAAGGGCCAAATTGTCTGGTCTATTGCACCTGCATCTCTCCAGTTAAAATAATCCTTTTTCTTTGGACTTACATCACCAGCGAGACAGAAAGAATCCCAGTGACCAGCATCTCACCTAACATACAAGCAGCAACTATATTTTACTTTTAGACAAGCAGGAAAAATGATATCTGCTCAGACAAACATTATATACAGCCAATAGGAATTTATATCATCAGGGTTTAAGACGTGCTGCAGAATGTGGCTGTTCAAAATGGCTCTTTGGGTTTGCTTTCCAGGCCAATTTGCTTTCTGGGCCATAGCGCAGTGGTAGAGCATCTGCATTGAGTGCAGAAGGTTCCAAGTTCAACCACTGGCTTCTCCAAGTAAGGTAAAGGTAAAGGACCCCTGGATGGTTAAGTCCAGTCAAAGGTGCCTATGGGGTTGCAGCGCTCATCTCTCTTCAGGCCGAGGGAGCAGACCTTTGTTCGCAGACAGCTTTCCGGGTCATGTGGCCAGTAGGACTAAACTGCTTCTGGTGCAGTGGGACACTGTGACAGAAACCAGAGAGCATGGAAATGCCATTTACCTTCCCGCCGCAGTGGTACCTATTTATCTATTTGCACTGGCATGCTTTCGAACTGCTAGGTTGGCAGGAGCTGGGACTGAGCAACGGGAGCTCACCCCACTGTGGGGATTCAAACCGCTGACCTTCAGATCAGCAAGCGCAAGAGGCTCAGTGGTTTAGACCACACTGCCACCCATGCCTCTTAGGCTTCTTCAAGTAGCACCTCCATGTCCATTGCTGGAAATCAAGGAGAGTATAGCCAATACTGAGTTCAGTGGACAAATATTAGGCAGCTTCCTATATCCCATCATTTTACAGAGTTTTGCTGAAAGCTGGAGCTGAGTTCTTGTTAATAATGACACAGGAACACAGAAAGCTGAATTAACTGCTTAAAAGCCTCAGGCTGCACAGGATCACATGAAAGACCGTTTTTGTATGCCACTTAAAAATCCTCAGAACAACAATGGATTTATATTGTTTGCCAATACATGGGTCTACAGAGTCTACAGGGTCTATTGTTTGCCAATACATGGGTCTATAGAGGCAGTTTTGGGGTGGCATGCCCAGTGTGGTCACACTGGGCACCACACTGCAGAGGGCACCAAAACAATGCTGCAGAACAGAGTGGGAGATGCAGGGGGTGCCAAATTTTTGTGTTGCAAGGGAACTGTTGAAAGTCCACCATTGGATCTAGAGGACTGACTCAGCATGACTCTTCTTATACTCTTCCATAGGCACCAACTCAAAGGGGCCAAGGCGTCTTCAGCCCCCCACCAAAAAATCATATTTGAGGGGACTGTGCCCCCCCCCAAAGATGAGTGGCATTGCCCCTGCAAGAGAGTGCTAGGAACACAGCTGCCGCCCGGCACTCGCTCGTGCTATTCAGCTCCCCTCCCTCTCTGACCCATCAGAGCTCTGTTGGGGCTTGTGGATCCCCACCAGGGGATTCTTTAGCATATGCTCCACTGGGGTGCAAAGATCCGCCCAGTGGCCCCCAAATTTAGTTTAAAAGGGTAAAGGACAGTTAAGTCCAGTCGCGAATGACTCTGGGGTTGCGGCGTTCATCTCACTTTACAGGTTGAGGGTGCCGATGTTTGTCTGCAGACAGCTTCCAGGTCACGTGGCCAGCATGACTAAGCCACTTCTGGTGAAACCAGAGCAGCACACGGAAACGCCGTTTACCTTCCCGCTGGAGCGGTACCTATTTATCTACTAGTACTTGACGTGCTTTCAAACTGCTAGGTTGGCAGGAGCAGGGACCAAGCAACGGGAGCTCACCCTGTCGCGGGGATTCGAACTGCTGACCTTCTGATCAGCAAGCCCTAGGCTCAGTGGTTAGACCACAGCGCCACCCGTATCCCCAAATTAATTTTTATTATGCTTATGTCAGACACCACACTTATGCCTTATCTCTTGTTTACGAAAGAAGGGAGGAAAAAGAAACAAACTTTTTTATTTCCTCATTTAGCGCTGCCGTTGTGAATGACAAGCTGGTAAATCAGCACACAAAATCGAAAGTCCTTTAGTGAAACAGTAGGTATACATTTCAGTAATACCTAGGTATATAGGTATTTTGTGTTTCTAGCTTGATCAAAATTATTTATTATTTCATAACAGGTAGTCAAGAGCTTAGGCGGCTTCAGCGGTGGGTGCCTGGCACCCCCCAGAATTCAGCGCCCGGGTGCCCCGCACCCCTTGCACTCCTAGGTAAAAACGGCCCTGGTCCCCACCAAGGAGGGAAGAGAGCTGTGTGCACCAACTGGCTCACAGTCGCAGCTCTTGTAATGCTCTGCGCATGTGCACCCTTCCTTCTCCCCAAGCCCTTAATAAGCTTTTCTCTTCCACAAACAATTTAACACAGTGAGTGCTAGTTATGCATACACACACACAGGGTTTAATTGTTTGTTTTGTTTTTCGTAGTATGTTGCTTTAATTAGCTGTCTGTTTGAAATGCTGTTTGCACATCTAAAGTTTTAAATTGTGTATTTATATCTTGTATATGTTGTTTACATTTTGAGGTGGGGCCTCACACAGAAATGCGCGGAATAGCCATTGGCCGGCCGGCTGGTGGGGGCACTTGCTCTCCACTGGCACCTTGCAGGTGCGGGTGGCTGACAGGGTCATGAGAAGGCAGCTTTGGAAGGGGGCAGTGATGGCCGTTGTTGCTGCTGCTGCTGCCTCTGCCTCCCTTCCCCTCCTCAGCCCCAAACCACAGGGCTTTCCACACCTGCCAGTCCTGAGGGAGACCTTGGTGCGTGACCCACCACCTCCACCAGTAGGAAGTGGAGTGTGAGGGCCTCCCTCTCCTCCTCCTCCTTTTCCTGGCCCATGACAGAGGTCGAGAGTGAGAGAGGAGGAGCTGTCGGCCACCACCTTCAGCTCTGCCCCCCGGCTCTCCCAAAATGCATGATGACACTGCACATCACACATGGCATCAGCCCCCTCAGTCTTTGCAGAAGTTGGTGCCTCTGTACTCTTGTGTTATTGATGAGTGGCCTGTAGAGAAATCCATTCTGGTTTGATGTGACATCTCAGAAGCATAGAAAATCAACTGTTTAATTCCAAATCTAGGGATAATGAGAATTATAAAAGCCTCCCTATGTTTGTTTCTGTTCCATCACAGTCCAGAGTGTTCCTTCCAGTTGCTCATCTAGATTTAAATGTCAACAAGTGCTTGCTAAAGATATGCTCCAAGTCAAAAGTCTTTCTCTCCCCCCCCCCACAAAAAAGCTCTCTTTCTTTTCAATAGCAAATAGCATAAATCTTAAGCAAGCATCACCAATCTTCCTACACCCTGTTTTCTGTTTTGTAATTAACTTCCAGATGTGTGTGGCATGGTTAGCGCCCCACACCACATGGTATAGGAACAAAGGAAGTGACACACTTTGATGTCCTACCTAAATATTTGAAAACCAAGAGCATTGTGATCATGATGCACTCCTCACGAATGTGACAGCCCCAGGCAAACATCAAGGAAGAGGTATTATAATGCAACGTGGCAAAATAATTGGAGCTGTGAACAGCTCTTTGTCTACACCTGACAGCTGGGGAAAGTTAGAGGTCTTCTTCTGCTCTAACTTGCTAACAGGGCATTATTCCATATTGCAACAACATGGGAAACATGTGGGCAGCCAGACTGGCCTACGTGGGTACACCAGAGGGAGAGGAAAGAGACAAAGCTCAGAATGGGGCAAAGATAGCAATATAGGAAGCTGTCTTATACCAAGTCTGACTTTTCATCCCTCTTGCTCAGTACTGACAGTAGATCTTCAGGGTTTCAGACAGGAGTCTCTCCCAGCCCTACCTGGAGATGCCTGGGGTTGAAACCAGGACCTTCTCCATGCAAGGCAGCTGCTCTAACATTGGCCTGGAGTCCTCTACTTAAACATGAATGCAGGAAGCTGCCTCTTACCTAGTCACACCATGAACCACCTGGCTCCATATTTTTGGCAGTGGCTCACCAGGGTTTCAAGCACTGATCTCTGAGGTTTACCTGAATATGCTGGGGATTGAACCCATCTGCAAGGCAGATGGTGTAGCTAGGTACAAACCTAAGATGATCCTAGAGGTACCAAGCTAAAGTCCCATCTAGTCTAATCAGATGCCTATGGGAAGCCCACAAGCAGCAGCTGAGTGCAATAGTCTTTTACGGTACATTCAAATATCTCCATATCACCTCTTTGTGACTATTTCCTCCTCCTTTAAACCTTGTTGAGAATCACAAGTGGGGAAAGTCTTGACAACTCCCATCACCAGCAGTCAGCGTGACCAATAGCCAAGCATAATGAGAGTTGAAGTCCAGCAACGTGAAGAGCCACAGATTCCCCATCCCTAATGGGGACCAGTTACCTGCCTGTGTCCCTGTCAGGTCCAAGCAGGATCATAGATACAGGCAGTAGGAGTTCAACAATATCCAGAGAGCACCACATTGGCCGACCCTGCATTAGAGCACCAGCATTTTCTAATAATGGGCTTTATATCCCACAGTTTGGGAAATGAAAGCAGTAATAACTCAAGAGGGAGACAAAAAGGAGTGCTGATCAATGATAAACACACTCAAGATGTTTGGAGTGTGTGAACAAAATATTCGGCTTATGAAAGAAGAACGAGATGAGACAAAGATCTTAAGAGGGACTTGCCTTAAGCAGAGGAGGGGGTCATGTAGCTGGCTTTATACAAAAGAAATAGACAAAATGAAGGATGGGGAGGGAGAGGAGGGAGGGAGGCAGATCAGTGAGGAAGACAGCTCTGTTTTTATAAAACTGCTTTGGATAAGAAGATGAGACAAAGATGAGCAAAGGGCAGAAACACAGAGTGAGGAATCGAAGAGAGGAGGCAAAATGAATCTAAGAGTATCTGAAAGCAAGGGAGTGGATAGCCAGACCAAAACCAGAACAGAGGGTAAGTGACGACGGGCTGAGTTTCCATTGCAATTCATGTTTCTGTTATTATTCAATATGAGCTAGGACAGGGGTCACCAAGTTTTTTGGGCCAGTGGGCACATTTAGAATTTTGAGAAACAGGATTTTTCGAATGTTTAAGAATTTTTAAGGTGTACCTCTTGGGAATTATATCGACTGACATTCCTGGCACTAGAAAAAAAGTTTTCTTATATGCAACCGCTGCGCCTAGAATGATTATAGCAAAAAAAAAATGGAAGGGTGAAAAAACTCCCTCAATAAGAGAATGGAATATAAGATTTTGTGAATATATAGATTCAGCAAGACTTACAGCCAGTGGTAAGAGGCCAGTCAGACCAAAAACTGATAGAGGAGAGGACTTGCGTGAAGGAATACATCAAAAAACATTGTTCTGGT